ATAAATGAAAATAATTATATAGTGAATAAAAATTAAAATTAATAAATAAAAATCAAAATTGATAAATAAATAAATTAATTAATTAACTATTCAAGCACTATCTACACTGAAATAGAATTTTACTTGGGCTATTGGATTACTGGTCAGATATCTGAAGCCATCAGATCCTTAATCTTCCGCAGAAACTTTATTTCCTTACTGTTTGCAAACAAAAAATTGGAAACAAAATTTTTTTTTTTAAATTACATATACAAATAATTTACTTTTGACTGAAGTCGAATGGTTGAATTGCAAGTTATCCTCATAAGTGATAGAATTATGGTCAATAGAAGACATTGCACTGCCCATTGCAACGTCTAGAGCAGGCGATGCAGAGGACGGCCAAAATGAACTGCAATGTAATGCATTTGGCAAGCGACGACTGTTTTGATTGACAGCTGGACGGACCACAAGGACATGGCGTGGATGCATAATGCATAATGCGCTTGCACACGGGCGTAGCGAGACTGTCGATAAGGGGGGTTTCCTATTGAATTGCCGCCATATTCTGTTTTACGATTCATTTTAAACAGATTTCCGACTGTGACAATCTTTGGGGCTATCAAGCCCCACTCACCCCCGCTCACGTACGCCATGCACATCACGAACAGCAGTGTCTACATCGAAAATGCCATTAATGGCTCTTTGCGGGTGTACGCATAATTAAGCTCGTCAAATTGTGGCTGGGCTTGGAGGCCGTGAATGTTGTCTTAAGCGGCTCTAATTAGCCAATTGTTGTTGTTGGCGATGATTGGTCTAACGGATGATTGGCTTAACTCCTCGTTGCACCTGACTACAACAGGTTGGCTCTGCAGTCCTAATTTACACTCTTCACTTCACTCTTTTATATCAGCTTAGTGCGGCTATTCTTATTACTTGGTCTGTTGTCCATTTTTCATTCAATACTCTGGCAGTTTATGTTCAGTTTATGAAGGGCAAGTCCACACCCCTAGCCCACACCAACACCCATTGCCCATACCCTCATGCAGCGCATGAAAAAATTGCAAACCAAATTTCATTTTTGTCCCGCAAAACTGCAGATAAAACGGAACTCGCAGTACAAAGTGCAGCGGACGTAAAGCTCCCAACCCCAGCATCAACTTGAACCAAGAGAGACAAAGATAGCCATAGACATAGAGATACAGATAGAGTGAAAGAGTAAGGTGCTTTCCAGTCGATTTAATGGCCAAACAGCGGTCACATCCCGCACAAAGGCAAACAAACGGCGTCTGGCTGTCACTTAATCGAAGCCATTAGCGTTATTAGTGCAAGACCTCCATAAACTGCTGCGTCTACTCCCAGGCCTGACTGGCGGCCAGGTAGAGGGCAAACAGCGTCTGTATATTGTGTATGTAATCCGATTGGGTTTCCAGTGGCCCCTCCACACCGAAGTGTTCGCACAGCGCCCGAACGTAATCGACCAGCGAGATTTGTTGCTGCAGACAGGCGCGATAGGCCTCGTCGACAGCCTCCTTGCTGGCTGGGGTGCCAAAGGAGCGGGGCCAGTTCTCCAGCAGGGCGTCGATGTCCTTTCTGGGCTGTGCGTCGTACATGGATTGCGTCATGTGAACCTGCTCCACCTCAGCAATCCACTTCTCAATATCCTTGGCCGTCTTTGCGGTGGGCACCTGCGTCGCCGAGCGAGCGGCATGGCGCGAATTGCCGGCTCGGCTGCCACTCAGCACCGAACGCAGCTTCATGTTCAGGAGGCTGGGCTCACTCTGTGCGCCAGATGGCTCGTCCAGCAGCACGAGGCCCAGGCGCTGCAGCTGCTCATCCAGCTCGCGCTGACGCGGCGCCTGGGGCTGCAGCAGAGCCGGCGCCTGCACCTTCAGCATGGCATCTACATCGCCCACGGCGGGCACAAACTCCGGCACAAAGGGCTGCAGGTGGTAGGGCGTGTCGATCGTTTGCGGCGTATACTTGAGTATGTAGGGAAATAGTTCCTTCAATTCCGGTTGCAGCGGAAGCTGCTCCCACTTATCCGGCGTCAGCTCAAACGTAGTCCCTTTCTCCTGCTCCCGCCCAGAGCTGGACCGCTGCTGCGTCTGTGGCTGTGGCAGCTTTTTTTGTTGCTGCAGTAATTTGACGCCTGTTGTCAGCTCTCCGGCTGCCTCATCCGAGCTACCAAAGCTTAGCTGGTCATCACCCATGGCCATTGGCTGCACATTCCGTGCGCTGCCCGGACGCGTCAGTGGCCGTGAACCGGACGCCGCCGTGCCGCCCAACTGCAGTTCGCTATCGTCATCATCGTCGTCATCGTTGTCGCTATCATCGCCCTCATCGTCGTGGTCAATGATGTCTTGCAGCAGGCCATCGTCGTCCGCGGAGTTGCCCTGCATTTGCTGCCAAATGTGTTTAGTATATTGTTAGTATATACTGCACATCTACATATATATATGTAGTTCTCTCTGATTATTCTCTTACCATTTTCCGCTGCCTGCCTTCTGCTCGAGTTGCTGCTCCTCCGCTCGCCCGGCTCGACTGGCGCTCCATTGGCACCCTGCTCAGGTGCTTGCCATCCGCTGACCCACTGATTGTGATCTCTTCGTCATAGTAATTCATTTTCTAATTTCTTTCCTTACAAATGCTGTTCACCTTGATGTTTTTCTTTTTTTTTTCAGAATATATGTATCTTGCTGCGGATTCGAATTTTGCGTACTTCCGCCGAATCGCAAATTCACTTGCTACCTTTTGCAGGTGTTATGCTTTTCTTTTGCTTTACCTGCGCAAAGAAAAACAATTGTCAATTGTTTTGGGCCCATCCGTTGCCTTGACAACCAGCGCGTTGCTGTTGTTGTTTTTGTTGTTGTCTGTTGGCCCGGCTTACTTACATGTATTCCGGTGAAACTCTCCTGCTATCCGTGCGGCTGTCCGGCGGAGGGAGCGATAGCCATTTCTAGTCGGATTTAATTACATGAAATGGAAATCTGATTTTGCAATACCCTTCCAGCACCTCGTCGATTGTCTGTGACTATTGCGACTGTTGTGTATATTGTGAATACCTGCCTAATTAAATGAATGAATTCTCAGGCGTACGTAGGCCTGATTTTATGACGACTGTTCATTAATGAACCTCAGTTTGGGTTTTCTCAAAATGGTTTTACGATCGAGCTGAGATTTGCATACGCTCAAACCAAAGTCTAATTGTAGCTGGCGTCTGTTCTAATGCCTCTTATGTCTGGTCAGGCTTAACTTCAGTGAAACCTTTTCCTAAATAAGCATATATCACAATAATTAAAGCAAATTCCAAATATTTAAATATTTAAATCTTGTTATTAGTTTCGTTATTTCTTTAGTGCTCTCCGAAATACGTTTTGTGCTTAGATCATATTCCGAAAAGAGATTTACTATACTTAGGAGCTTAACTTTGCTGATTAGCCATATGAGCACAACTTATATTATTTTAATACTCCAAATTATTTTAAATAAGATTAGAACATGTTTTAAAATTACATTAAAAACTGTTAAAATTTCTACTTCCTTAGCTAGTAAATGGTTAGTAATGAACTCAAAACAAGAATATTCTCCTATACTTAATTTGTTAAATAAAAATATATAAGAAGATATTGATGTGATTGGAAATAAAGCCTAAAATATGAAATAATAATACAGTACATATAATAATAATACAGTATTTTTATTTTTATACCCTGAACCCATTGAAAATGGGAAATCAGGGTATAATGGTTTTGTTGAAATGTATGTAACAGGCAGAAGGAGGCGTGGCAGACCCCACAAAGTATATATATTCTTGATCAGGGTGACGAGCTGAGTTGATTTGGCCCTGTCCGTCTGTCTGTCTGTCCGTCTGTCCGTCTGTCCGTCTGTCCGTNTATATTTAATTTCTTCTAAAATACTCAACCCCTACATCGCCGTCCATGCGCGCATTGGAACCGCTCAAACGAGTTGCGGCTCGATGTGGTTCGGTTTGACATGCAACCGCAACAGCAACAGCCGTGAAAACACAACACAACAATTTTCGGCTTTCATTCGGTTTTGGATGTTCGCGCTGTGCGTTTCGTTGCGGCTGCTGCGTGTTTTAACGGAAATACCAAATAAAATAACGAAAGAATACGTTCAAATTTTAAGCTGTTTTTAAAAATGCGCTAACAGAACAACAACAATATTTATTAATGAAATATTAAAATAGATTTGAAAAGAAACAAAAATTTGTCGAGTGGAAAAAAATCGTTAAAAAATTATTCGCTTTAATTATTAACGCTGAATACGCCGCTTTAAATACGCGGTAAATTTTGCATTTAATCTTGCGTAACTTAAAAGATATTTTTTATAATACGAAGTTAATTAATAGCGCCTTTATAACGCTCGGTGTGGCTAGACTTCATTAATAGCTGCTATCTCTCTCCCTCTCACTCTGTGCGTGAGTGTGTGTGTGTGGGTGTGTGCGCGTAAAGGTGTGTGTGCCGCGCCTTGCGTCTGGCACAATTTTCATTATCAGACGCTAAAAGGATTACGAACCCGTTCATCTCCATCTTCAGCAGCAGCAGCAGCAGCATCCTTGCTTTCCGCTTAGCCAAATATTTGCGAGCATCCGCAAACGGTAAGTTGATGCCCCTTGACCAGCTACCCGGCACCGCCCCCCATTCATCTAGAACCCGTCTGAACCTGCTGCTTTATGTGTTAGCTTTCACGCCTACCTCATAGGTCCTATTGGACCTTCCCCCCCGCACACACAGCAAAATGTTTTATATTCGCGCACTGTTTAAAAGGGTTATGTCTGCCTCTGTCCCTGGCCCTGTGCCCATCCTCCCAGCTCCACCCACAGACCCTCCGGCAGCCGGGTCAACCAAGTGTTGGCCGCATTGTTAGCTTAAACTGTGCTTTGTGCCATAACTCGAAGCCTGCCCCCCAAAACTTGCGCAATAAAATGAAATTGTTTTGAATTATTGAGATCCGAGACTTGGGAGCCTTGTTTTTTTTTTTTTTTTTTTTTTTTTTTTTTTGTTCTCATACCCTGTAAATGTGGCCGGCAAAAATAAAAAATCTGGAAACAACTTTGATTCCATAGGGTATTTATTCTATCACATTGGTCTTACAGCTTAGTCGAATCATATTTTGAAGACGGTTAAGAAATATGTATATCTACTTGAAAATAACACAAAAATAATTTGGTTTTAAATATTTCTTGTGTAATAATTTACAGGGCACCTTGAATTCGGTCATGCACCTGCTTAATATAATTTATTTTTTGGCGCTTTTACGGTCAGCAAAGAGTTTTCATTGTCGGGTTTCAACTTGGGTTCCACCACACATATGGAGAGTTTCAGGACTCGAATAGGTGTCTGGGGCATTAACAGTTAACATGTTGCGGTTTTTGATTGCTCCAAAATGCTGCTCGCTCTACACTTTTTTTTATATTTTTATTCATTTTGGCATTCGCACAAAAAAGGTTGAAAAGGTTCGACATTTTTATGCACTGCGAAACAGTTTGCGAAAATTGGATATGGTGCGGAAAGTTTATTGTCTGGAGCTGAGCTTATCCATATATACATATATAAATATATGTAGAGAAAGAGACAGATGGAGAGTGGGAGAGAGAGCTTCTGCTTAATCCATTCGAGTTTGATAACAACTGTTTTATGGTCCGGGGTCAATGGACAGACATCGCTTCTGACATTCAAAGATACAAAAAGAATGTATTGGATAATTCAACGGCTTTGGCTAACGCTTATATGTATAATAATAAAACTTGCATTCTATTAGAACACAAATATACATGTCAAGTTTTATTTAACAAATTTCTTTTAAGAGTTAATCAAAACAGAAGATTCATTGTGAGTTTTTCTCATATGAAATTTAATTTTAATCTTTTGTAGAATTTCTATTATAAACATAAACGATAATGTGTTAGAACTAGGCTAATATATTCTTTTCTTCATAGTTCACAGTTCTGTTAGGAATTTACAAATATTTGTATCAGCATTTTATTATCTTCACGCTTGTTGTTGTCTTTTGTATTCCTCTTTTATTAATTTTTTCTATGGTCTAAAAGTGTCTTTTTCATAAGACGGTACTTAAACAATTTTATTAATTAAATCAATAATAAGAATAATAATGGTTTTAATATTACTTAATGTATCTTGCCTGTAGCCAATCTTAAATTCAATTTAGCCATTTTCATGCAACCTTGGCCACAATCAATAGCAAACAGATTGAGCAATCTATCTACCTGCGTTATTGATAGCTGCGTTTCATTACAGAATCGAATCGAATCGAATCGAATTCAATCAAATTGAATTTACTGGCCTCATGCTCGCGGTCAATTCTCAGCAGGTCGATTACACTTGGCATTCCCTGCCCATTTGATGAGCGGCTAATTAATTTCTATTCAAATATATACATAGATGTATTCGACATACATATATATTCATATATATCTACAGGCAAACTTCCTTAAAACGGCCAATATAAATGCCATTGCTTGTGGAGGTTTTTATTTGTATTTGCGGTCTGTTTTATTGTAATCTTTTATGGTGCAGTCCAATGTTTTGCCTCAACTCTCATAACTGCCGACCTATATATATGTTTGTGTATATATATGTGTACATTCTTGTGGTAGAAGCGAGCTTTATAGCGCCTAAAAGTGAACAGCACTTGCTGTCCACTTTCCATTTCATTGTCTCGTTCGCTTATCGCAGTCGTTGCTTTTGGCCTAAGCATTTTTATGTCTGTTTTGCTTTGTCTCTTTCCTTTACTTTTGTGAATACCCTGTATTCCGTGTCAATGGGAATAACTGGGTATTATGTCAGACTCATAATAATTTTTCTGTCTTAATTCTGTTTATTTCGGCAGAACTTAACAAGTCTCAAAGTGAAACTTTCAATTCGAAGACATCTCATTTCATTTTACTTAAATATTATCAATATTTTGACAGTATCTATAAAGCATTGACACATTGATTTTCTTTTTCCAGAGATAAAACTCAGGTGAATAATAACACGATTGTGTGCAATGAGTGTTGGTGTCTACTTACAGGGTATGTGTCAAGCAAGCCTTCCAGTTGATGTTGCTCCTACTTGAAGCTATGTTAGTCTGTGTGTGAATAGGCTTAAGGATGCTCGCGCTGGCTGGTGCTTTGCTTGGGGTCTGGGATAATCATCAGCATGCGCGGCCATGTTCTCAAGTTCGTCGTCGTTTCAAGTTCAGCGAAAGTGAAACGTGTCGGGTATTTGGTTTTGGTTTTAGTGTTGGGGATAGGTTTTAGCTGAATAGGCTTAACGGTAGCGACGGGGCCAATGTCGGGGGGAGCTATAAAAATAAAAATTGTTTGTGCCGAGTGGAAAGTTCGTTTGGTAATTTGAATTGAGTTGCAGTCACAGTCACAGTCACAGTGACATTCACAGTTACGCTACGACACACACACGGACACACACACACATACACAACAAAGGCAAACGACAAAGTTTCCAAGACCCGTCACAACACATAAAGCGATAAGATGCCAAGCAGTAGGCTCGAATTATGTTTGACATTTTCAGCCAGATTGGTTTTTATTTAAATTAGTTTCGAATACATGTTGTAGGCCTAGAATACCAGCTACCCAGCCCCAATCCCCGGCTCATGCTCCCTATATGCTCGCTGAAGTGTAAAAATAAGTTTAGAAAAAAAAAAAAAAACGAACAGAAAATAAGCAAAACAAATTGATTTGTGTTTTTTATTTCGCTTTCTGCTGAGACTTGCGAAAAAGTTTCGAAATAGAGTATAAATAAAGTGTATTAAAATGAAGTTAAAAGAACTTCATATTGGTATATTAAATTATGTGTATATAAATTGCCACGAGAAACAAGAAAGTAAACTCAAAAAAACAGTGTAAAGTCTTATAAATATACTATATGTAAAATA